TCCCTTCTGCTTTACTCGACACTCTCAGCAGCCCATGATATGCAAGCGCGACGGCAAGGTGCACGGCTTCAACTTGTAGGCTCCCTCCCGAATCATGATCCCAGAGGGATGCGACGGCCTGTGAAATTATTTCAGTGACACGAAACGACGAAAGCATAAAGGAAGGATAAAAACTAGACAATTGAACTCACTCTTTCGAATTGTCCACACATCAGCAACACACTCGCCCAAAATCCAGATTTTTGTCCAACGCTCCCCGTGGCAGGTTCGAAGTGTCGCTCCCCGTAAGCCAACAAGACCTTGGTCAGAGAGGCCAGGGAACTATCGTCGTTTTCATCGCCAGAGCTTTCGTCAACCATAGCGAACTGCATCCACAGCCAGTCTTCCGTTGTAGTGGTGACGTTAGGTATACTACGCCGCCCAACATCGAGTCGTGCAATCAATTTGTACAAAGCAAGTTTGAACGGATCCGTCGTCTGAGCCTGTAACATGTGTGCGTTATACACCCCAGCTAGCTGATCCCGTATTAGCCGAGGAAGAGAACGTTCACTGGATTCTGCCCAGATACGGAAAGCATCTATGAACCCTGGTTCGCGTGCATCCACAGCGTCTTTGAACCGCATCAGGACTTGGAACGCCTCCGAGACCTCCCCGATGCGGACGAGGAAGAAAACCTGTGCCCAAACCGGACTCCCTTTCACTAACTCCAATCCTGACAGCCATTCGCCTTGGCGATAAAACCTCACCGCACAGAACGCTCGAACGAGATTCGCAGTTGAGGGATCACCTCCTAGCTGTGCTTCAGATGGATGAGAGTGAACAGTTCGCTGAATGATAGAGAGATATTGTTCCTCCAGAGCTTGGCGCGCCCCAGTGGCAATTTGCTTCCTGAGCGAAAGTGCAGGAGCGGGAGAGGCTAGATATGCCTTTGCATATTTCCGTTCAAAAACAGGGGAGTTGAGGATGTGAGCGGACGCATGCTCCAAAGGCGGTAGCGACGGTGGCTCTTGTGTGATCTTGACGAGAACCGTGAACATGAAAGCTATCTGGTTGTTGTCGTTCGCTGCGTCAGTCAAAGCATGAATGATAGGGTATGATGTGCCTCCAAGTCGTGCAGAATTAAGAGCAACAACAGTACGGTCGTATGCAAGCATTTTGCTGTGCATTTGGAGTGAGAGAGGCGCAGAGACCGGGACCTGTTTCTTCATCATTGAGCTCGACATTCCCATCGTTGATGCTGCTAACGACGTGGTAGATGTTGTAAGGCTGGAAGCCACTGGTACAGAGGCTCCAAGTTGCTCGAATAATCTCTTCTTTTTTTCCTCCCAGTCCCTCGCTGTCCTATCTTCCAGCATACGATAGAAACTGTCCTGTGTTTCCTTTCTGCCATGTTCAATTGTGCTAATGAGATTCTGCTCATGCGAGTGTCGGAGAAAGGAGGAAACGTCGGTATCTTGTAATGGTTGTAAAGAAGAGGAAGAAAATGTAGTTGAAGCATTGAGATGAGCAATAGATTGGCTTAGAGCTGAGCCATCTACCGAAGCCTGTGCAAGAAGATAATTTCTGTTGGACCAGATCAGAGGAGGATAAAGCGAATGGTATAAGGACGTACGCCCTATTCACATCTCCAGATGAATCGTGTTTCGACACCAGCCTCCGTGACTGAGCCTCAATTTGTTCCAGAGAAAGGTTTACCGATGGTAAGTCGGGTGGTTTAGAGTTGAGAAGATGTTTTGTCAAGTCCTTCGAGGCTGAAAGGATAGAAGACAGGTCTGTGGATGCCATACTGTTTATACGAGTATTTGGCGAGAGAAAAACGCGTTTACGACCTCGTGATAGTTAACAGATGTTGGTTTTTTCGGAGAGGATGAGAAGGGCACGGGCACTTTTCGATCTCTATCAAGCAAGCTCAGAAGTAGTGGAGTGAGCGCGGCGGTTGAGAGGTATATAATGAGGCAGAACGGTGAACCCTAGCAGGCTCTAGCTGAGCGAAGGAAGAGGTCCGGGTGTTCGTTAAGTACATATATAAGCGCCCACAGGACATTCGCGGACCACCATGTATCTCTTGATACAAAATCAATTCAGCTCTTCGAGCTGTAGGCATCCTCCTGTCCATGCCGTCGAGCCAAAGTTGATTATACTTTTTCATGTAGTACCAACTTCAGTTACTAGAAACAATAATCACACTTCAACTCGGACGAAACTCCAACTCCGGACGTAGATCTTGCGAAAGTTTACAGGAAGTTACGCACGGAATATGATATGGTCACCATGCAGTCTGAAGCTGAAAATAATGGTATCCTAGCAGCAGAAGTCGACAAGAATATAACGTCATTTTTCATCGGAAAATCAACTGACATCTACGTACTTTTCAGTTTGGATTACATCTTGTATCTACTTCTCTGGCCTTACACCTGGGTGCTTGAGCGCTCCACTCTATATCAACTTGCCATTCATTTATCAGCCATTCATTGTGTCCACATAGATTGTGTTGGACATGTGATGTCGTCCCATCGCCCAAAATGGAAATCCTCTTGCATTTGGCACCGCTGTATGTATTTTCATGTGATATAACCTTAACCCTATCTCTTCTTTCCCTCCGCTACTTGTCAGCACTTGTTAGATAGACTCAAATTCACACAATATGAACACAATGAGTCTCTTGGATTGAACTTGCTATGATATGTTCACAGGTAAAATTATGATATAATGTCTGATTTCATAGGTGCGATGAACTGTATAGTTCATCATGAGAATAAAGGTCTGACTTGATGTATTCTAGATAAGATATAGATAAGGGGCCATTAGAATCAAGGCCGTTAGAATCAGGGCCAGAAGTACATCCAATCAAAGCCAGCAGTACACCCAACTGCAGTCAGGTGTGCACTTGGTCTTTGACACACGCATCAAGTACACCCAGTTACTAGGCATAAAAGTATAAATTGAAAGTAAAAATGTGTGAAAAAGTACACAAATGAAGTACAAACTACACTTTTCAAGTACACTGTATATTAAATGATGAAAAATGATCTCATACAAGAACCTCGAAAACTGTGAACCTGAAATTGGTCGCTTTCTACATTATCTTTCCTACAACATCAAAATCTGAGTCGTGGTCTGAAGATTTACAAACATGTTTGTGTTTTCTTAGTTCGCTAGTACGGAAATCTGCCAATGAAATCATCCTCCGCATCTTTGACTTTGCGTGCATGTAATATTGCAGTATTATTGTATCTAGTCCTTCAGATTTTGTACTAAGATCTGATTACAGAAAAAATTTGTGGTGATATTACTGAGTTTTGTTTATACAATACAGGTCTGGTGAATAGCGCTCTAGCTTCTGGGTATTACACATCCAGAGATTCATACTTGGTATGCGTTATAAAGGATTTGAAGCGGAGGGTTGGAGAGACTAGAAGAGCGTAGGGAGAAGAACAGCGATGTAACGTGCTCCTTCATTAAGAGCACAGCAGCTTCACGGTCTGAGCCTAGAAGAGTGGTCATTGAACGTAAAGATGGTTGATGCAGGAGAGCATTAAGATCGAGAAAGACAGCTTTGACATGCTGTAACAGGCATGAGCGGAAGTTTACGGAAAATCAATCGGCATTCGCCGAACCTTCTAATTATTTCACCTATCTCTCGAACGTCGCCGTCACATTTTTCTTCTCCAAGTTCGTACTGTATATCTATATCTTTGGAATGCTGGAACTAATCAGCACTTTTTGGTCAGGACATGGCATCCAAAACAGCCGCGGCGGTGGTTGTGAGTAAACGCTTTTACACCCAGAACGACGCGAGAATATTCAGGAATAATATCGTTGTTACCAGGATTTCACTCGCATCTATACTTCTCTTGGTCTAGGAAAAGGTGCGTCTGACATGAGCTCTTGAACTCAATGCACAATGCTCTAATAAGACAACAGAGACCATTACTGCCCTACAGGCTTTCCGTAAGCGCCACGGTGAAGCTCAACGTGCACAAGTTACCTACTCAAGTCAGCCAACCACTGTCGATTTTGCCCATTACCGCTCTGTGCTGAAGAACAAAGCTATTGTGGATGAGGCTGAGAAGCTATCAAAAGACTTCAAGCCTGTCTCATATGACGTTAGCGAACACATTAAGGCAATTGAGGCTTTTGAGGCCAAGGCCGTACGTCTTCATTTAATGTGGATTTTCTGGTTGTGGTTCAAGTCAACGGACGTTATAGGTTACTAAAGCGAAGGAAACAGAGGAGAAAATTGATGTGGAGTTGAAGGACCTTCAGGCAACTCTAAAGAACATTGAGGAGGCACGTCCTTTCCAGGACCTTACGGTAAGTGTCGAATTCAGTATGGATCTTAGCCCACACTCATGTCCGTCCCACACTATTTCAGGTCATGGACATTGGGGAAGCTCACCCACGTATAATCGAAACCGTCGAGACGATGATGAAGAAGGGCAAATGGAGCGTACCTGGTCGGTCCTTTGTTTCACCTCCTCTTCGTTGACAACACTCATTCTTGAATCCAGGTTACAAGGAGAAATTCGGTGACCTTAACCTCATGTAATCGACACTCACTTAGATACCTTTACATGAGAATGCATTTCGTTTAAACATCCCTGTAATTTAACGTGCGCGAATCACTCGTTATTTTGACATCCTTGGTGCATTTTGGTAACACATTCGACGTTGGATCGCTTTGTTTCGGAGACTTCTTGCGCTTTCTGTCTCGGATCCCCTCTCAACGTTTCCATCTCAGCACAAGAGGATACGCAAATACCTGGGTCTATCACGGTATGTCAACTCAGCAGAACGAATTCACATTGTCTGTCCTCCCTGTCTGGCATCGGGCCACCTCCCTTTGAAAATCAAAGTACTTGAAGTTTTCTTTCCATAACTTGAGGATACTGTATGTAGACATTGCGCAACAAAGCAATCTAGTTTTTTTAGAACAGCGCTGCAAAACCAGTTGAAATCTTTGCGCGGGTTGTAACATTTTTGGAAGCATGACTTTCATCGGTTCGGTGGTGTAGTGGTTATCACGTCTGTCTCACACTTGTGAGGTGCGCACAGGAGGTCCCCGGTTCGAGACCGGGTCGAACCATTTTTAATAATTTTAGCTAAGCCTGTCGTTGGTAAACATTCTTTCCTCTTACCCTGTATTTTTTTTAAATACCATAAACAAACACGCACAGGCTGCGCTTGCATGAGAATTGCAGCTTGCGGCGCAGCGTAGTAGCCATGATGTCACAGGCACTATAATATATACCTTGCCACCTCCTAAAGTGGCTCTTGTCCGGCGCGGCGTTTCCATCTCCAGAAAACTGTTTGGTCGTTGCTCTCTTAAAAATTGACTGTATCCGTGTCCGTGTTGCTTATAAGCTATTCATATAGCCAGCTTATTCTGCTCCTCCAAAGCTAGAGAGGGAATAAAATATCGAGAGAGCCTCTTCGAGAACTTTGGCTGTGGAGTTCCGGTAAGTAAAATTAATTCATTGTGTTCGCTTCTGAAGTGCTCCAACTCTCCAACATTTGACTGATCGTTGATTGATTGAATGGGGGGCGACCGCGATGTATATAGGACTTACTGAGAGTCGATAACAAGGCAACCTAAGAAACCGGATAGATTTCGGAACAGCGACAAGCTGGATTGGGAAGGCATTCAGGCAGGAGAAAATCACAGGGTCAGCGGAGAATCAACAACAAATGGCTGGGAGTAATTCGGGCTCGAACTCTTCTCCTACATCGGTGACTGCTGCGGGCAAGAGACCAGAAGTCGCCACCAACGACTTTGACAACCAGTCCCACTTGGCTTCTAATTCTCACAATCCCCGTAACTTCCTTTCTACGTCCTCCCTAGGCGATCACGACCACGACGTTGCCTCACCACCGTACAGGCCAGAAGCTAGCACGTCCAGTTTGACTGGCCAAGACTTGTTCTTGAATCCCAATCATCCATACTCAAATTATCCTCCAAGTCCAGCGTATAAATCTCAGGCAAACATGTCAGATGAAGTCCATCTCGAGGGTGACCAGCACGCGACTGAGGACACTAAATGGGAGGGAGAACTACGTGACACGAAACACAAAGTTCATTATCCCGAGTCGATCGACTTGGAGCCTGTTCCAGTCGTTTCGGGTGATGTTGTCTCTCCAGCCGCGAACAAGGCTCAACTTCGATTGGAAGAAATACCTACGAGAGATTTCAACCGTTCTGGCACAAACAGTCCGGCTGACGCCATTTCGCTCGCTGGAACTGACGACGAAGAGGACCACAGCGACTATGATTGGAGCGGCGAAGATGATTTAGTCGACGAAGAAGCCAAGTTCGAACAGCAGATGGGTGTTAGATCCAAAAGAACAGGGTGGGGATTCAAAAGAATTATCACTTTACTCTTTTCCTCCCTCCTCGGCTCCACACTTGTTGCCGGTATCCTCGTCACACCCGGGATTCTAATTCACTTTTATTGGTACAACAACAATCCTACTTCTCACCGAAAATACGTCGAACAGAACGTTCAGGCCTGGCTTTTTTGGGCTGCTGCCAACCTTCTCTTATCTTGGTATCTCGCTGTCATTGTCGATCTCGTTCCGACTCTTGCCACTTTCATAATCGCCGCTGCATGGGGCCATGTTTCCGAGGTATTCAAATCTCGCGTCGAACTCTACAACTCCGTCAAAAATACTTTCAAACCGGCATTGTATGCGGCTAGTGCCTGGGCTAGCTGGGTTATCATCTTTGGACACATCTTCAACCTCTATGATACTGAGGCTTCCAGCCAGAGTCGGGCTACGTATACAGCCCGTCTTTATCAGGTGGTAGAATTTCTGTTCTTTTTTGTCTTGGTGATCTGCGCTCAGAAAATGCTTTCGCATGCAATTGCATTCGCGTTCCATCGGACGGCGTTCAAGGAGCGTCTTGAGGATGTGCAGCGGACTTTGAAAGTCATCGAACAGCTGCGTAATTATAGGCCCAAGCACGACCGCTTTGGCAGACAATCTAACAGATCTAGTGGTTGGGCATGGAGTACTCCGGTATTGGAAAAAGCAGGCTTTGGTTTCGGCAAAAGTACGCATCACAAGGGTTTTTCTTCGTCTCGTCAGTATTCGCATCGTACGGAAGACGACGGATACGGCGCTGATGCGGATAACGACTATGACGATAGGACTGTGGTAGGTACGTCGTCGAGGAAGTCCACTATGGGAAGCACGTTTGGATTCTCCAACAAGAACAAGAAGAACAAGCGTCGTTCTGGTGTATCCCCGTCTGGAGGTGGGGACCATGAACTAGGTGTATTTAATTCTATTACATCTCCTCATGGGCGATCCCAAAATACTCCTTCGCCAGATACCAGTCGTCCCATGACTCCCTCCACCTCGGCCCCATTCATATCAAACCAAGCAGTCTCTCCTGCAGCTATCTCCCCTTTGGAAACCAGCGGTCGCGTCACTCCACATCGTTATCCTCCGGGCTCAGGCATGAACACCGCCTCCCCACGTCCCTCACTCGACTCTAATCATGGAGCGGGAGAGACTCTCGCCGCGGCAGCCAAAGTCCTCAAATCCGCCGTGCTTCACGATGCGCGAAATATCGCTGGAGGTTCTGATCATGTTGCGAACGGTGGCGGCGGTGCGATAGGGCTGGGTCATGTTGGGTCGAGTTCCGAGGCCAAAAGACTCGCGAGGGCAATCTATCTTAAATTCCGGCCCATTGGACAAGGAAGGACGTATCTCCTGCCGTCAGATTTTCATCCAGCTTTTCCCGATACCACTACCGCGCAAGCTGCTTTTCGTGTTTTCGATAAAGATGATAATGGGGATCTGAGCCGCGCTGAAATCAAGACTACTTTACTCAAAGTGTACAAAGAACGTCGGTTCCTCGCTCGCTCTATGCGAGATGTTGGGATAGCGCTCAAGAGTTTGGATCAGATTCTGCTGTTTTTTGCACTGGTCATTATATTCTTCATCAGCTTGTCTGTGTTTGGGGTACAAATTGGGGACTCGTTGAGCAGTGTTTATACGTTAGGCATTGGCGCGAGTTTTATTTTCAAGACTAGTGCGAGTAGTGCGTTTGATGCGATCATGTTTTTGTTTGTCACGCAGTGAGTGGGCATCCGTCGTCTTTGTTCGCTGCTCTCCAGGTTGATATATTCTCTAATCATCCTACAACAGCCCATACGACACCGGTGACCGATGCTTCATAGACGACGAAATTCTCGTCGTCAAAAAGATGGGTCTGTTCGCCACGGTATTTGGACGAGTGGATGGAACGGAGACATATTATTTCAACAGCCAGCTTTTTACCAAGTTTATGTGAGTTTTCTTTTCCACGGTTCATTCTTCATCATTGGTAGTAACCGTTGTTCGTTCTCGTCATAGCACCAACGTTCGCCGATCCGGCCAAATGTATGAAAACGTTACTCTTCAACTGCACTGGCGAACGCCCATCGTCAAACTTGACGCTCTTGAAAAATCTTTGAATAATTGGTTGCAGACAGAGCAAAATCGTTGGTTTGTACCTAGTACAGCGATAATGCTGCAAAGTATCAATTTTCAGAGATACTTAGAAGTCACAATCGGGATTGGGCACAATGGGTGAGTATACCTGCTCTATTAGAGATTTCATCTCAAACGCTTCCTGACTACATTCATTACTCACAGAACTTGGCAAGATTGGGGCCTTCGATGTGCCCGCAAAACCGCCTTCCACGCCGCCGTTCAACATTACACTCGTCAACTCGGTATCGTTTGCTACGAGTCAACCCAGCCTGTTGTCTATACCAACTCACCTGATACTCCCGCCATTCACGTGTTCACCGACGGTACGATGCCTCCGCCTTCACCTGGAGGTTATGGTGGATGGTCCGGGTCTGGCTATGAGGTAGAAACAGGTGCAGATGGAGGCACGGACATCGTTTATGGTGATAGCTCTGGTGGTGGCGCTGAACCCACTACGAACTCTCTCTCACCCGCGGCAGCGGCAGCTCTAGGCGCAGGCGAAAAAGAAAGCGGGCTGAAGACCGCGCTTGGGTTCACACCTCCTGAAGGTCTGGTAGGCTCGCATTTGAGGGCAAGGAAGACGAAGAGTAGGAAGGTTATGGTTGGATTGGCTGGAGATGGATGATCAATGGTGACAATCGGTACGTAACGGGGAATAGGCTCCATTGCTTCAAGTTTCTCCGTTCATTGCCTACACCATTTGGCGTCAGACTTCGAGTCAAACCTCGAAATTTTGAAGTCGAAACGAAAACGAAATGAAGCTTCATCTATAAACAGATCAGAATATCAGCTCCTCACTGTTGCATGGACATCGTCGCATTTGCATACTCATATATATAGAATATTCAACCTTCTCCATTTGTCTGCTAGAAAGATAGTCATGCATGTCTTCCAAGGAAGAATTCAATATTGATAGCTAAATGAAGGCTAAGAAATAAATGCTGAGAATGTTCAATATGTCTCGAGAAGGACCAGTCTTATAGTTGGGCTCCTGCCACGGCAGAGTTGCACCAACCGTTTACTAATTGATCAAGACGAATCAAACTCAACTGAGTTCGAGCAGATAATAGGAAGATGAGTAGGATCAAATAAGTAAGTCCACTGTTACTCTGCTGCTAATGACACTGACGTTGGAAGCGATAGTCGAACAGGTGAATAACAATGTTTTGCAAAGGATACGTTGCTTTTCCGCTCACAATAATCCTAGGCTCACAACATCAATATCGATCAGCCTTGCTCGCTCGACCTTTCGACTCATGTACACTGACAACGGTGATAGAGATACTTACCCGTATATTCAATTCACTGATCATTCTCTGGATCCTCCTCCGAAATCACATAAAGATCATGTCCGGAATTCTTTCCTTCGTTCTTTTTCTTTGACAGCGTGAATCAGTCAACGGAAAAACATAGCCAATGATGAAAACATACGGTTGGTTCAGGTCTATACTCATACTGCTGAACATCGCCCTGTCGATTTTTGAGATACCCTTTGACTTTAGCTTTCTCCAACTTCGAGTCTTTTTCTGTCACCTTGAGCTCCCCCTTCAACAAGGTTTGCCCTGATATTATCTTTCCCAAGACTTTATGTGTTGGCCAATGGCT